CAAGTTCAGAGCCATCTCATCTGATTGATCATCATCAGAGCCCATGGTTGAAGTCCTCAATCAAGCACTTTTAACAGCAAAACCGGTGTCGCTACACGGTCATTGCGTAGATAAAGTACTAGAGAAGTTGACTTTTTGTTTTTGCAAAATGCGTGATTTTTGTTTTTTGATTTTTGAAACTGAATTTTATATTGTGCCTCCTTCGTATTGGATCATGTTGAGTTTTGCCAGTTGTTGGTTTGGCGTCTCCATTCCTTGTTGTAGTCCAATGTAGGTGGCCATGAGTGCTTGTTTGAGCGCTTGGAATTGGGTCTTGGCAATCTGTTGCTTGGACCACTTTTTGTAGGCTTCGTTGTCAGGTTCTCCATCTCTGGTTGCGGCTCTCATCAAGAACTCTTCTCTGAATGCTAACATTGCTGCGATGATTTCCTTGTGATGTGCTTGGTCCGTTAGCATTTGGTGAGTGATGGATACATCCATCTGGTTCTGGACTCTTGGCACTGGAACATATACAGCTCTATTGGAAGACGGTGGGAACTTTGTTGGGTCAATTCCAATGTCAGTTCGTAGGGAGCAAAGCCGTGGGACCAATCTGAGCTCTATTCGGAAGTATGTACCGTCGGCTCTAAGTGGAGCTGGAAGTCCTGGTCCCGGTCCTGTAGCAATTGGATGTCCCATATTGTTGATGACGTGTAGGCTTGTGAACTCGTATACGTTGCTAGTTGCTAGTCACGTTGAACAATTTGCTGGTGACGGCGTTGACATGCAAGCAAACGTCTGGGCACACTGATGTGTAGCGCTTCATCAAGAAATCCAGCTTGTGTTCCATTGTTGTCTTTGTCTGCTTGATGGAATTCACAGACTGTTGGAGGATCGCTTGCTTGATTTCTGGAGACTCTGTGGTTGGAGCTAGGACAGCAGTATGGATGGTGTACTGATTGTAGGTGATGGTCTTGTCCACGTGGCTTCTATTGCATTCTCCACATTGACAGGACTTGCTGACATCATAGCAAACGCGTTGCGCTGGAAATGATCAGGGTTGAACTGTCCTCCCCATGTGTGGGCTGTTCGTGTGGTTAAACTTGGTGGCTCTGACTGCAAATTGGCTTCAAATCTTGGGCTGGCTTCCACTTAACGTGCTATAGTTGTGCTCCTGACTCTCATAGTAGAGGGAGCGTAATAGTGCATTGATGTAGCTACTGTTGGACATGATAGACGGTGATTGATATTGCTATTGGGGTGTATTTACGGGGGTCTGAAGCAGCTGTGAGTAGATGATGAATGATTGATCTTAGGCTGAATAGTCGGCAATGACCGTTGGCCTTCAATCGCTCTAATACATCTGCTCGGGACTCGGCAGTCCAGTCAGTCACCTGATATTAGAAGCTGTTGTGCTTGTTTTTTTTTAAATGTTTTTCTTGTACTGGTAGTTGACAAGATCCGAGCTGGTATTCTGTGCGAAAAGGCGGAGCGACAGAAACAAGTCAAAGAAAACGTTCCATCACTTCCGTCAGCAGAGATCTTGTCCGGTCAGTTGCAAGGTGCCGTTCGACGGAAGCATGAAAATGCCAGCGGTCAGAATGAAACGAAGTATTCAACAGAGGAGGTACCAAAGGTACAAATATCCCCATTCAACTGGAGCCGGTGAACCGTCTTGGTGACGATGATACTGCCATTTTATGAAGTGATACGCAACATCAACTTTTGATGCACAAAAAGAGATTGCCAAATGAAGCAGTTGAATAGGTTTATAATAGAAATATCAAGTATGTTTATCGGATCTTAAATTCACATTAAGAGGTTCGACCTCCCGATACTGTCATGCAGTTACTCGTCTCCAAAAATCAGGTTGGAGAATTCTCTGTAATCGATCTTTCCATCTGCTGGCTCAACCTCAGACATGACCTCGGCCATTTCTTCTTGACTCAATGCTTCTCCCATGGTACACAAGACATGTCTGAATTCTGTGACAGGAATTAGACCACTTCCATCTTGGTCAAAGACACTAAAGGAATCAATAATTTCGTCAACGTTATCCTTCGCCTTCTCCATTTCCGGGACAACGACTTTCTTGAAGGCATCAAAATCACAGGCGCCTCCTCCAGCTTTTTTCTTGAGCTCAGCCGCACTTGCCTCTGTGGGGTTTAGGCCAACGGCTCTGATAACTTTGTTGAAATCCTTTGCGGCAATCGATCCTCCCTTGGCATATGTGTTGAAGGTCATTTGAATTTCTTTCTCGTTGACTTTCATCGTGATTCTAGCAGTGCTTCTGTTGCTAACAAATGGTTCTTTATTTGGTGCTGATTGCTACGGTAGTCAGAGGCAAAAAATCTTTTCGTTGCATAATTTCAGATCCAAGTTCTTGATGACCCTCTGATGACTCCCTAAAACTCAAGTAGGTACCGGTACTGCAACCGAAGGCCTACCAGTACTAATACAAAGAATTTTTGAACAGACTTGTGCCTCTTTGTACCTGTATCTGGTACCAGTACGAGGTACGATACGGAACACCGCCGGCAGAATGAGAACCAGGATTTTAGTCATTTTGTTCGAAGAACGGACAGACCTTCTACAGTCATTTTCGAAATCCATTGGAGTGACCTTGGAACTAGATTAGACCCTTTGGAGGTACAGACATAGCTTTAGGCCTAACTCTCACGTCACTCCTTTCTGTGGCTTTCGGAGAGACTCTATAACTTTTGTTGTGACCCATTCCTATCTCTTCTTCTAGGCTGGTTCACTATTCGAATAGCCATAAGGCTTAGATTGTAGACTACAAGTGTATACTCTGACACACATGAGCAATTGCCGTTTGATTTGATCGAAAAACCTCGATCCTTTCAGATTCACAACCAGTTTCACACTCCAGTACTTTTTCTACCATGGCTTCTACGCACATGCTCCGTCAAACCATTATTGTCAATGAGGGCGACTCTCCATTGGCATACAAGTCCAAAGAAATCACTAATCCAGTGATGCAGTATGTCAGCTTTATCAACAACAACTTTGAGCGCAAGCGAAAGGTTGAAGTTTGGAATGGTGCAAGTGTAAAGAATGTTGAACCACTCCTCATCTCCATTCAATCCTTTCGCAACCTTGTTGGAGAGTGGGGAATCAATCAGGGTCGTCAAAAGAAGGCCTTGTTCAAACAATTCCTCACTGCTGAACCGCAAATGACCTACCAGAGAATTTGTGACACCCATGGGAATTCAGTTCAGGACTTTGAAAACTCTGTCAATGAGTTCATTTGCGAGTAAACTGGCGAAAATCCAAAGTATCAGGCGAACATGTACCTCTTTGATACTTCCAACCACATTCGCAGACCGTACAATACAGAAATTGGAATTCACGCAAATCGCTTGAAAACTCTATTTATGTATCACGATATGCTTCCTGGAAATTGTTCCAACGTGAACGATGAAAACGATCCTGCTCAAATCCGGAAAAGAGAGCTGGCACTGTTTCGATCCTTTCCACTTGATTGGCAGGGAGATTTTATCAATTTGCAAAATGATCTGGCAAATGACGATAATATTGCGTGGAAAGATATTGTCAGTTGGATGACGCAGAAGAAAAGAACGGTGGACAGAAAGAAACTCATGCAGGAGAGTTCTCAACGTCGAGCTCGACCTGGTAATCGCACAGGCGGTAGAGGCCTTCAACAAAATCGTTTTGGTGGTGGTCATGGTCATGTTCGACCAAGCTATGGTTTTCAACCATATCCAAGAACCCGAACTCTCCAAGATATTCTCAAGGGAATTCACAAGGTTTTCAACGTGGAGGCAGTCCCTACCAACAAAATCAAGGACGATTTCAACCAAGAAGCCCCTACAATGGTGGCAGAGGCCGTGGATTCAATGGCCAGCGCAGTGGACGCTCCCAAGCTGGTCGCTTTCAGCCAGGACGAAACTATCAAGGCAGAGGCCAACAACAGCAACAACAGAGACAAAACTACTATGCTGAGTCGCACTACAATCAAGAAGCTGAAAGCTTTGCTGCGGAAAGCAGCGTTCCTGAATGGAACCAAGACAATGTCTTATGGTGGAATGCCAAGTGCCAAGCAGTACCAGCATCAAGAACACTTTTATCAAGCTGAGGAAAATCAGCAACAATGGAACAATCAATTCAACTTTGAACAGGAAGAATATTATCCTGAAGAGCAGGAGGCGCAAGAAAACTTTTCCTATGATGAGGACTCGCCATTTTTGTTTCATGAAGATCGGTACTGACCCACAAATACTCGTAAACTAACGAGCTCCCTAATCTTCCTAATCCATTTCTGGAACCTGATTTGTCTTCCTTTCTTTCAGGATTGGGGAAATTTGATGATGAAGATGGTCCAATGACTGAAGATGAGAAGGAGTTTCTTTTGAATGATTCTTTGCTTTGTATGCCTACGTCAAAACAAGATGTAAACTCTATGGAGGATTTGATGAGAAAAAAGAAACTTTCACCTACATCTTTGGCGATTTGGAAGACAATTGAAGGAATTGAAAGTTGAAAAGTTGTACGAGTATTATTTGATTCAGGAGGATTGCATACGATGATCAATGCGAGGGGGATGTCAGAAATATGAGAATACAACTAGCTGTAGGTGCCTCAACGCCCCTAGGTCTTGATTCTCTCCTAAAATAGGATCTTCGGCGGCTAGGGCATTAGCTCCTGTAACGATAATGATACTATAGCAAACCATACATCAGTATTACTATATTAATTTATATCCATTTAGATTCTGTTTGGATTGTGAGCTGAATCGTATTGCCTTCAGATCTGGAAACATCTTAACGTGACAACGTTGGGCTCCTGACTCTCATTGTAGAGAGAGCGTTCTAGTGCATTGATGTAGCTACTGTTGGGCATGATAGACGGTGATTGATATTGCTATTGGGGTGTATCTACGGGGGTCTGAAGCAGCTGTGAGTAGATGATAGACGATTGATCTTGGGCTTGAGATTGGCGACGACCGTTGGCCTTCGATCGCTCTAATATATCTGCTCGGGACTCGGCAGTCCAGTCAGTCACGTTACGTCCCCTCTTCTTCCATTTAGGCGACTCTGTTG